CTATTAGCTTTTTAGTTACTCTTCTTTGTATTGTGTTTTTGTAGTTACTCCAGGGTTTATAATATGCATCCTAACCTTATCACAATCTACTTGTAATTACTATTATACCACTTCACATAAAATGTAAAAACTTGAGCACAATATAATTATATTGCCTCTTCCACCCTCCTCTGGGCTCTTGTTGTCATTCATGTTTCTTCTATACAGTAGCCCCACCCCATATTCACAGGGGGTATGTTTGAAGACCCACAGTGGATTCCTGAAGCCACGATAATACTGAATTTTGTATATAATGTTTTTTCCTATATAAAGGGAAACCCAAAAAACCTATAATTTATTTATTAAAAATTGTGTATTTATTCTTCCATGTTTAAACTTTAGTCACCTTCAAAATACTCTCCATTTGATGCAATACACCTATTGAGAAGCTTTTTCCACTGCTCAAAACAGTTTTTGATCTTGTCAGTGTTGATGCCTTTTGGTGTTTCTGCCATTTTTTGTTGCTCCTCGTCCACATCAGCAAAATGTTTCCCTTTGAGGACTTTTTCCGTCCAGAAAACCAAAAAAAAAAGTTGCTTGGGTTGAAATCAGGTGGATAGGGAGGGCAGGGCACAAGCGTCATGCTGTTTTTGATTAAAAACTGCTGAACACAGCACAGTGTGGACAGGTGCACTCATAAATCACTCATCACAAAATGGGCAAATTTGTTGAAAGAATCTCTAAAAAAAAATTCACTGAAGCCAAATGCAGCCTCTCATAACAGCCCTAGCTGGTACACTGATGCTGATGGGTTCCTAGGACACTCACCTAGTGGGAAAAGCCTGTACTACAAGGGGCCCACCCTCCAAAAAATAAATCTAGGTTTTTTTGGGTCCCCCTTGTACATACATACCTATGATAAAGTTTCATTTATAAATTAGGAAAAGTAAAATACTAACAACAATAACTAAAAATACCATAACAATATACTGTGATAATAATATACTGTAATAGAACAATATACTATAATAAAAGTCTTGTCTCTCTCACTCTCATTCTCACTTTTTCTTTTTTGGTGACTGGAACCACAGATAGCAAAACCACAGATCAGATAAGGGAGGACTACTGTATATGTTATGGGCCCCACATATGGGTTGCAGTATAATCACTTTTTCTTTAAACAATTAAACAATGAGCCTTTTACAAAATTAAGAAAAAAATATATTGACCATTTCTGGTATTCTTCATTTCTTCCTATAGATCCAAGTTTTTATATGGTATCTCTCTTCAACCTAAAGAATTTTATGTATCATTTCTTTAAGTCTGATGGCACCAAATTCTCTTTTTCAGTCAATACTTTCGTTTCTATTAAAATGTCTTCATTGTACTCTCATGATATTTTCCCTGGGTATGGAATTCTGGGTCAAGTTTTTCCATCAGCCTTTTAAAGATGTCATTCCATTGTCTTCTGACAAGAGGGGTCTTCCTTACCCCTGAACCCTCCCTGGGGACCTTTCTGACCCTGTGCCCCCTCCAGATGCCTGACCACCCAGCCCTGCTCCAGTCCAGGGACCTCTGAGAACCTCCTGCCCCTTCCAGAGCTCTCCCACCAACCTCTGGCGGCTTTCACTGCCTTTAGACTTCTCCACCTATTACTTCTCACCCCTCTGCCCCAACCCCCGGGGATGACATCAGTCCTTGAGTATCAGACAGCACACTGTTCTGCCTCCCCAGCCCTGACATGTGCTCCAGCCCAGCATGTGGCCTGTGTAAGGTAGGGGAGAGTAGGGAGGGCCCCTAGTCTTATTGGCAGGGTGCTCTCACCAAGGAATTCATGCAGACTCTTTATAAGCTCTTACTTAAATTCCTTTCCTTCCAATTCTTACTGTCAAGGCTTGGTTTTCCTCCGCGGTGTAATGTTGTCTTCTTTCCTTGCACTGTCATCTGTGCTACTCATCTTCCTGAGCAGCTGCACTGAAAAGATACCCCCATGGGGGTGGGACTCCCGAGAGGACCAGAGCTAGGGGAGCACATGAGGGGTCAGGCCACGGGTGACACTTTCCTCTAAACCAGCTTGGTACTCAGGGCCTCCTTGTCCTTGTTTCCGTTTCAGCCATTTCCCGGGTTTGATGCTAATGCTGGCAATGAAGCTGTGTCCAGGATCCCAAACCCACAGATCTTTGCCATGAATAACATAGAACACATCACCACTCTGTTCCCTGCTCCAGATCCACACAGGATGCCCACTGAGACACCTAGGAAGTGAGCCTGGACCCTGTGCAGCCAGCCCAGAGACCTGGCTTCCTGGGAACCAGTCCAGGTCCCTTTGCCTGAGGCCCCACCCAGCCTTCCCCTCAAACTTGTGGGTGTGCCTGGGGCTTCAAGTCCTTCTTGCTGCCTCAGCCCCATGGCATGAGTGGGGTCCTGAAAAGAGAAATGCCCAAAGAGGAATTTGAAACCCTATGACCCCTCATACCATGGTCCAGGGGTGTCCTTGGCTTTGATCCATGAAAAAGCTAGGTAAGGCAACCTGGGAGTTGACAACACTGGCCAAGATCTGACAGCTTCCGGGTTGTTTTATCAGCAGGTTAGAGGAGTGAGGAGACATTTTAGCACTCACTAAAAACAAGTCTATTATTGATCTCTTGTCAGTTTTTAATATATAAAATATGTATGTATTTTATACACACATTCATATATTGATAATATACATGTATTTATAATATGCATATGTATGTATTTTGGGTTGAACCATAAAATCAGCTGGCTCACTGCCAAACACATATATTAAACCATAAGATCAGCCCAATCACTGCTAAGTCCTCACAGCGGCGTACCACACAGCTGGTTAGAACATGGAGCCAAACTGCTCCAGTAGGAATCCCAACTATCTTCTTTTTCCTCATCTGTAAAATAGAAATAACACTGTTACCTACAAGTAGAGTCATCATTGTGAGGATTACATTACCTAATACAAGTAAGGCGCTTAGAATAGCACCTCTCATACCCATGCGCTCCCAGGACATGAGGAGTTAGTACTGTGATTGTTACTATGTCTCCGTGTTAAGTACTCACAGCCACTGTGTCTGGCTCTATACAAACTGTGAAAAGCAGAACATGACCGTCTCAGCACAGGCATTATGGCTCCCTTGTGCCGTTGGCCAGTTCCAGCTCTTTACATCATAGGCTTTCAGAGGTCAGTGAGCTGCTGGGGTCGCAGACTCCCTGCAAGCAAACTCACTTGCTCCTCCTTCCAGAGCTTGGTCTTCCCCCTGTGGTGAGTTCCCTCAGTCCCTTGGAAAACCTCCATGGAATCGAGGGGGCCCTCAGAAAGTACCATTCGCTTCTGAGCAGCTGCACTTCTTTCAGGTAGAAAATCCTTATCTCTCAGCAGACTCTGGAAGGGCTGCAGCCCTGTCGAAGCCATCTCAGGGACGTAGCATTAGCCAGCATCTTGGTGCAAACACCATGTCTTACTGGGGTTTTCATGGTTTTATGTTCATTAACTGTTCTCAACCCCGGTGCCAGGGGTCTCACCAAGGCTGCACTCACCTTGAGAACCGGCTTCCATGGCCAGTCTGTTTGATCTCTTCCTTTGCCATCCTTGCATCTGAATCTTCTCTGCCTTCAAAAACATCACTGAGAACCTCCTCTGTATGCCACCATGCTGCATGCCAGGCTCCTGGGGGCAGAGAAGGAGTGCTCTCTCCACTCCCAAAGCACACTTCTACAAGGAGAGAGAAAATGCGGACACCACAGGGTACCACCAGCATAAGGGGGTCACATGAGAGACCCAGGTGGGTGAAAGATGCAGAAAGAAACAGCAGCAGGCCAGACTGGCAGGGATCAACTATATGGGGGACAGACACTGAGCAGACAGAGAAGTAAGGAACTGCCAGATGTGAAGGCATAAAACAGATGCTATGGTGGAGGGTCCAGGCACCGTGAGAGAGGCCTCTCGCAGGAGGTCAGGAGTATCCTTCCACCCAAGATCTGAAATGGCTGAAAAAAACCTAAGACATCTCCACCGGTGCCCGCTGGGTTCCCTGCACAGCCCCTGTCCACTTTCACCAACTTGCCAGGCGGATAGCCTCTCTCTTCCCATGTGTGCCCACATGACAGCAGGCAAGTCAGAGCCAAGACCCGCACCTGTGTGCTTGGCCCACCCAGCTGTCACTGAATTTTCCTCGTATGATATTTTAGGGGGCCTCTTCCAGAAAGTTCTAAAGATGTTTGTTGGACTGAAATTTATTTTAAGAGGGTTAGGAGAGCCAAAGTCAAAGCCTTTGTTAAGAAGAGTCCAACATCTGCAGACCCAAGGGGCAGCCCTGTTGTGCCTGTCCCCAAAGTGCCATAGCACACAGATGATGCCAGTTTCCAGGCACACTTTTGGAGGAACCTCCCAGGTTTCAGCTGTTTTAAAATGACAACGGACGTGAGGGCCTCTCTGATGGAGTGATGCAACATTTATGTGATGACCAAGAGAATTCTCATAAAACAACCCTCTTTTGCACAAAACAGCCTCATTCTAACCTTTAAGGCAATTGTGTTTTCTCAACTGGCCAAGAACAACAAATAGCTTTGAAGGCCAAAACCGTTCCTCTGACCCCAAATCTGCATTATCCTTGGAACTGTGCAGCTGTATTTGTTTTTCCTTCACCAACCAAAGTGAATGTGAAGCAACTCTCCAACCATAAACCTGGGTATAGAGAATCATCTCTCATTTGCAACATCTGACATTTTTAGGACCACAGATGTCTTCATGGCTTCCCTCAGCATGTTCTAATCTCTGTCTTAGACACCTATAGATGCATTCCCTGTACCCATCTTCATTTCCCCTTGGAACATGTATTCTCAGCATATAAATGATAAAAATGGGATTCCCAATGCCCTGGGAGGAAGGAACTAGCAGCCTGGGCTGTTTCAGCTGAGCCTGCCCCTGGCCAGGCCATCTGCTGCAGTCGGGCTCTGTAGCAGAGCTTGGACCACGCTGCTCACTGGTCCTCCTTGATGTATTTCAGCTACCTCCTGCCACACCTCCTTCCATCCAAACCTGGCCTGGATACCCACGGCATGCGGCACCCCACGGCCAACACCATTCAGAGGGTGTTTAAGATGAGCTTCGTTCCCGTTGGCTTCTGGCAAAGGTTTATAGCCCGGATGCTGATCAGCTTGGCAGAGATGGACCTGCAGGTAGCTGGGGTTTCTGTGCAGGGGCAATTGCAGCTGCACTGTTATGGGAGGGAGATGCCCTTTGCTGGAGGGACCTGACTGGAGACCATCCTTCCCGCGATGCCACCAGTGTAGTTAGTGCCAGGAGGCAAGTGGGGCACAGGCTGCTGGTAGACCCATCTGAAAGGTTTTGTGAATACCACATCAGTGCCCACCAGGCTTAGACAGACACTCATCTTTGTTTTCTTAGAGACAAGGTCTCATTCTGTCACCCAGACTGGAGTACAGTGATACAATCATGGCTCGCTGCAGCCTCGAAATTCTATGCTCAAGCTAACCTTCCACCTCAGCCTCCCCAGTAGGGCTACAGGTATGCACCACCATGCTGAGCTTACATATATATATATATATATATATATATATATACACATATATATGTGTGTGTGTATACACACACACATGTAGAGATAGGGCAGGGCAGGAGGGGGGTCTCACAATGTTGCCCAGGCTGACTTCAAGCTGTCCTCCCACCTCAGCCTCCCAAAGCACTCTGTGGGATTACTGGTATGAGCCCCTGTGCTCTGCCTAGAACACTCCATTTTAGAGCAGTGGTTCTAAACGTTAGCCCACCTCAAAATCACCTGGAGAACTTGTTAGAACACAGATTTCTGGCCCACCCCAGAGGTTCTGTTCAGCAAGTGAACTGAGGCCAAGAATTTGCATTTCTATTTATTTCCCAGGTGACACTGCTGGCCAGTGACCACACTTGGAGAACCCTGACTTTAGAAGCATGGTTTTGCCATCCTGGCTGTACACTAGACTTACCTGGGGAGATTCTAACACACCACACCCCAGACCAATCGAATCAGAATCTTTGGGTATAGTAGCAGGGCTGGGATTTTTCAAGGCTGGTGGGTAATTCCACTGTGCACCCAGCGTTGAGAGCTACTTTAATTAAGTTGATTGGGAGTAATAAAGACCTAGCCCAAAGAGTTATTTCCTGTGGGTTCACCTGGGATGATGGGAAGGTGTCCCAGCTGTCTGTCAACATTAGTTTTATGCAAGACAGTAAAGTGAAAGCAATAGCTACCTAGAGCAGAATTTCTCTAAGTGGGGCTCCTAGACCAGCAAAATCAGCCTCACCTGGGACTTTTTTGAGTTGGAGTCTCACTCTGTCGCCCAGGCTGGAGTGCTGGCACACTCACAGCCACCCCAGGCAACCTACTGGTCTCCAGCGATCCTTCCGCCTCAACCTTCCAAGTAGCCGGAACTAGCACATGCTACCACGGCTGGCTAATGTGAGAAATACAGATTCTCAGGCCCCACCCCCAAACCCACTGCATCAGAAACTCCAAGATGGACCTGAGCACTGGTTTTCACCAACCCTCCAGGAGACTTTGACACTCTATGGTTTGTGAACCCATGGTATAAACCCTGACCGTTGAATCCTTGACATTACATTCTGTATGAGTTTACTTTTGCCACATTCTAAGGAGAAAGCCCTTACTGTGCCTGAGCCTGCGGGTGCAAGACCTCATCTCTACAATAAACCAAAAATTAGCCAGGCATGGTAGCGCACTAGTTCCAACTACTTGGAAGGCTGAGGCAGAAGGATCGCCGGAGCCCAGCAGGTCGACACTGGGGTGGCTATGGGTATGCCACCACACTCCAGCCTGGCCAACAGAGTGAGACTCCAACTCAGAAAAAGAAAGAAAGAAAGAAAGAAAACCCTTACTGAATTATAACATCTTGGCTCAATAAAGATAGTCTTTGATCTTCCCATTTTACTGAAATGGTAAGAAAAACAAGTGCAAGAGCCTGAAAATCAATGGTTACAGTTGCAGCCTGTGTTAGCAAGGAGAGAGATTTGTTTATAAGCCAGGAGGGTGCCCTGGCAGAAGGAGTGGGCACAGGCACTGACTGTGCCTTGGTTCCGCCTCTGTCCCCCTGCCCTCCCTTTGAACTATGTGTCCTGCTGTGTACTAAGTAGAGGGGCATGGAGCACCAGTGTCGTGGGAGGCTGCGCACACAAGTGGGGTCCAGCTGGGCCCAGAGGCCCTTCCAGTTAGCAGCATCCTTCACTTGAAATTAGGAGACACGTCCTATTGAAATTCAGATGGGTGACAAGGAGAGGAAAAGAGTTCAGTCTCCTCACTAATCAAAGGCATGCAAATACAGGCAGCAGTGAGATGCCACTTTTCATCTGTCAAATTAGCAAAGAGCTGAGCCGTGATACCCAGCCCAGCAGCGTGAAACAGGCCTTGTACACACTGGTGGTCAGGGTATTTGACCGGCTCATTGTTTTGAAAAGCGATTTCTCTGTATATACCCAGGAGCCTTAAAGCCTTCAGAGCCTTTGACCCAGTTATCCTACTGCTGAATATCTGAACTAAGGAAATCATTTGAAATGAGAGAAAGCTTCGTGCTTTTTTCCTGTTCATCACAGTGTTTTTAAAGGAGCAAATGATTGGAACCAACCAGCATGCCCAAGAGAAAAGAGTGGGTCAAGAAATTACTATTCTAAGCTTTAGAAAAATGAACTTTTTGTGAGTTTCTAATGACATAGTAAAAGTGATGCTTTTAAAAGTATGCAAAATTAGAAATATAATATGACTTCAACTGTTTTTTACATCTATATGTAGATAGAAAAAAAATCCTGGAATAATATATACCAGGATCTTAATGATCTCTCTACTTGGTGTTAAATTGGTGTCTTATTTTCTTTTACATTTTTCTGTATTTTTCACATTTTCTAACATGAGTTTTACTTGTAAAGTCAGGAAGGGAAAAGATTTTTAAAAGAAAAGCCTATTTTAAATCCTTTCCGAAAATTGTGTTTCCAGAGTATCCTGAAGACCCCATCAGATAATGTAGCGTTGAACTTGGTGGCACAGATGAGGGGGTCAGGGAGAGGGTGGGAAAGGCAATGGTCATTTATCAAGATGGGGCTGGCCAGGCTGCTCTAGCGTTCTGCCCAGGGCCAGCAAGGAGTGCAGAATACTTAAGCAGGGTCTTTTCTCTGTCTTTCAGCTTTTTGAAAACAAGAAGAATACTAAAAGCAGGAACAGGAAAGTCCCCATTTACAGTTTTACAGGAAACCAGAGAAATCGCTGTAGCACGTTCAGAGTCAAAAGAAATCAGACCATCTATTGGCAGGAAGGGCTCCTGGTCACTTTTGATGGGGGCTACCTCAGGTAGGAACGTCTGGAAGCCACCTGCCCAGTCAGCAGGTGCCTGTCTGGGTCAGCTGGGTATCATGGTCTCCACCCCCAGGGCTGCCTCCCCATGGGGCCTCATCCTCTTGGTGTTCAGAATTCTCCTGATGGCAGCTCATCATGGCAGCTTGCTAGATGTGCGAGACTCTCCTCATGAATATCTTGGAGGTGCCCATCTCCTCATTCCTCCTGCACTCCCCTCAGGCCAGGAAAGGCAAGGGCAGATGTGCTGGGCACAACTTAGGACTTGAGGGAAATGGGCAGCTGCTGAGCTCAGACCAGAGAGCCTCAACCTCCGACGGTCACTTAGGTGGGTCCTGAAGGAGCCTTGCAGCCATCCAGCCCGCCCTTCTGTTCTGAGAGAAGGATCCAGGCTGAGGCCTGGGGGGCATTCGTGCCCCTCATCCCTGATGTCACATCACCACATACCTAGATGTGTAACTCAACTCCCTGTTCCTTTTTATTTTTGAGAGAGGTATGCTTAATGTCAGATCAACAGACTTAATGAGTTATAAGCACATGAGATTATTTTAATATTTACGATAACAGTTTCAAAATCTTCTCCAGTTCTGTGAAAGAAAGAAAAGGGGGAAGGAACTTTTTGGGGAACCTGATTTGGGCCACTCTCTGGGCCTGGCCCTTCCACATAGAAGTTCTCACTCAAAGTCCACAGTTCCTGCTTGATGGATAAGAGTACTGTGGTTCTGAGAGGTAAAGGAACTTCCTCAGGGGCACACCTGAGGGTCGAATCTCAGCCTAAGGGTCCCTTATGCAAAGTCTTCCTTCTATCTCCTTCACCATGCTGAGGTGTGGGGGACAAGTCCACACATACAAGCACTTACACAGAGGAGTGCCCCTGACTGTCCTGCAGCGCATGGTGTCCTTTGGTCCCCAGGGTTGGGGTCCTGGTCCCGGGGGCAGGGAAACTATCCCAGGGATCCCCACAGCCAATCCCAAAGGATTCCTTTTGGTTTCTGGGTTGCAGTGTGGAATCCTCCGATGTGAACTGGAAAAAGAAAAAAAGTGGAGGAATAAAAATCATTTGCCAATCAGAAATGAGGGACTTCTCAGCAATGGCTTTTATCACGGATCACATCAATTCCTTGATCGATCAGTGGTTTCCCGGTAAGAGAATGTTCTGGAACCAAGCTTTTGTTCATGCTAATACTTCTTTATGAATCAGTGTGGCCTGCTTCTTCAGGGGAACAGAAATCCCACTGGGACTCAGCCCAAGAAAACCTGGGGCGTTCTTAACAGCCTTTCAGTGGGAGTCCTGGCCCAGGGGAATCCAGCTCTATTCATGGGCAGGGAGCATGGTGAGGAAGCTATGGCTCTAGACCCCACAAAGAATGTGCCAGGACATGGCCTCCTGCTGTCCACAGTGTGTGAGAAGGAAAATGACGCTGGGTACCATGGGGGGCCACATAGATGCTCCGTGGAGCCACATACGTGTCTTGTTCACAGAGTGAGGACAGTATGGTTGAAACTGGTGGGGAGAGCTGGCAGATGGAGATTTGTCCTTGTGCAGGGCAGGGAGGGAGTGAGCCATAGCTGCCAGGGGGCTTGCTCTCCTCCCCTGCCTGTCCCTCCCATCCCAGTGGTGATCAAACCACCCACACGGTCCTTCTCAGAGCCTTTGGATCTGTTTCTTTATTGACAGTTCACCCAAAGAAAATACTTTTTGAAGTGAAGCAGCTGAGGCCTCATTTGTTTTGCTGCGGAGGTGGAGACAACTCCCCCAGAGCAGCCTGCAGGGAGGAGGTCGTCTGGGGCCGAATGGGCAGGCAGATGTGGGAGGAGGCTGCCCAGAGAACCCTCGGCCTCTGAGTGTGCGAGTGGAGAGCGGGTCTGGAATCCCAACACCACTATCCGCAAGCCTAGGCGAGTCCCTCGGCCTCCCTTGCAGGGCCTCCCCACCTGCACACAGAACCTGCATCCCAGAGAGCATCAAGAACAGTGGCTACTGGCAGTGCACTGGGGACATACCTTCCGATGCCAGGGCCTGGTTTCCATCAGGGATGGGAGTCCTTCAAGTTTCAACAGGAAGGATGACCTACAAGGACAAAAATAGCTTAAAAGGGGCCCACAGAGAAGGTGGTCCAGTGTGTGAGCTGTGGTGATTCAGAGGGTGGATGGCCTCTGGACCTCATCTGGGGCCCAACCACAGCCTCAAAGCATCGCAGCCCCTTGACTCAGAGTCTGGCAGGCAGGGGGACCTGGCATCCACCAAGCCATGCCCTGTAACCCTACAAAAGCAGGCACTTCCTGGGTTCACAAGTCCCAACAGTACCCTTCTAGGTACTTGCAACTCCCTACCAGCTAGTGCTCCTCCCACCAGCAGAAGCTGGGCAGTTTGACAGGAGGACCCATTAGACAATCACCTGAGAATGGTAAGGACTCAGTTGAGCACCTGAGACAGTCCTGCCTGGAACCAGCACCCCCAGCCAGGGTCCCCCAACAGGATGCCTCACCCCTAGACCATAGATGTCAGATGCACTCAGAAAGTTCAGGCATCCACCTCCTACTCCACACAAAGCAGGTTGTTGCCCACCCCAAGGGCCCCTGAGAAGGTGTCCCTCCACACCTATCAGAGGCATGCAGGGGCCCCATGTTCCATGACCAGGTTTGTCCATCATAACTTGCACTCATTTCTCCCCTGGTATTTCTCCTCAAGGTACTTGTAAGCCTTCTGTTTCTAGTTGTAAGAATGGCCCCTTGTGTACTATGGTTGGGTTATTGGTGGGTTGCACAAACCCAGCCGGCAGGGGCCAACCATGAAGGAGGGATCCCCACCCCCTCTCAACCCACCTCAGCCAGCCCGCTTAGGGTCCAGACCACAAGGGTCTCAGGTACATCTTGAACCACCCCCCACCTCCGGCACATCTTTCAGGATTGATGATTGTGCTCTCCACAAAGGTTCCCGAAGTTCTAGCCTCCCCCTTGGGTACAAGCAAGGGCAACCAGGCTGTCAGCTGCCATCTGGCCTGGGGTTGCAGGGTGCTGCTCAGGGACCCATCTGCAGCCATCTTCTGAGGAGCTGTCATCTCCTGCTGTGTCCCCATTTAGCTCTGACAGCTACAGAGAGTGATGGGACCCCACTCATGGAGCAGTATGTGCCCTGCCCAGTCTGTGAGACGTCCTGGGCCCAACACACGGCCCCCAGTGAGAAGTCAGAGGACGTGCAGTACTTTGACATGGAAGACTGCGTACTGACAGCCATTGAGCGGGACTTCATCTCCTGCCCCAGACACCCGGATCTCCCCGTGCCACTCCAGGAGCTGGTCCCCGAGCTGTTCATGACCGACTTCCCGGCCAGGTATGCCCCGGCAGCCCCTCCCAGAACAAAGGGATAGGTCAGGGTTCTTCTAGTGGTGCAGGTGCCAACGGCTCTCCAGGCAGACCCTCCTGCCTGGCCACAGCACATCACTGCGTGGCTGCCTGAAGGGAACCAGGCTGCCAGCTGTCCATATTGGAGACCTGGATAGGCCCTGCTGGGCAAAGAGCTTTATAAGTGAGGCTATCCTGTGACCCCCATGCTTTCTTTCCCTAACATAGCAAGAGCTCTTCTCTCCTGAGCTGGCCTTCCTTCCAATTCCTACCTCAGTGCCAGCTAGGACTAGGAGGGAAATGCAGCTGGTGCTCCTCAGCTGTCAGGAAGGGGAATGCTCCTGAACTTCAGCCTTATTTTCCTTTCGGGGCAAATATCAACCTCCTAACTGCAGCCCTAAAGCTGAGCATCTGGACCCCCTAAATCCATTCTTAGAGTTGATCCTCCCTGTATTAATCCTAGATGTGAACCAGGGAGAGAATGCTAGAGAAAATGGGCAATGTTTTGTGATCCCATCCCACTGGAAATGGTCCCAGAGCCCAAAATAAAAGATACTGTGGAAACCAGAATCTGTGATTTTGTCTCCCTAGAGACAATTTGACATCAGTGCTTCCCAACTTTTGGGGAGTTGAAAAGTCCTGCTGTGTTCTCATTTAAAGGAAGACCACCTGGTTTCTTTTCAAAGTAAAAGAAAAGAAAATTGGGAAGGCGGGGAGAGAATATCTGCACTCTCATCTTTCCAAACTGCTCCAAGTAGTTGTGGAGTGCCCTGTGATGTTGCAGGATTGGGGTTCCTAGACCTGCTTCTAGAAGAATTGCTCAGTTAAGAAAATGCTTTCCACATTGGGTAATATCCCTCATGGTTCTTGTCAACATGCCCAGTTAGGTCTTGGTGGAGATGACAACTTCACTCTTCTGCAAAATAGGACTCCTCTTCATTCCTAGAGCTTTAACATGAGGATTCTCAGTTCTTAGAACCTGCATGCAGTTTTGTGTATATGAATCCGATTTTGCCTAATTGGGCACCTCCAAAGTTTTAGAATTTTGGTGTATTTGCTGATCCATACTATGTTTTATGCCTCAGCTTAGAGACCACAACTGAAGGGCTATGGAATTTACTGTATGGAATTTGAAAAGCCAGAATGAACTGTCCCTGTTGGTGTGGATCTGACCTCAGGCTGTAGCATGGTTCCTACATGGGTTACTTGGCAGGTGGACCTCAGCAGAGTCGGAGAAGGCCTGAAGGGGGGGGGCATCAGGGCTGCCTCCCCCTCCCCCCTCCTCCCTCCTCGCTCCCCCTCCATCCTTCCTCTCCTTGCTCCTTGCTTTGCCTTTTCATCCCAAATTGAGATTAACTGTCCAGCAGAGGCTCTCTGGACCTCATCTGGGGCCCAACCACAGCCTCAAAGCATCGCAGCCCCTTGACTCAGAGTCTGGCAGGCAGGGGGACCTGGCATCCACCAAGCCATGCCCTGTAACCCAACAAAAGCAGGCACTTCCTGGGTTCACAAGTCCCAACAGGAAGCTCCAGAGGGATGCTCCAGTAAATTCCCTAGCATGCCCGTTGCTCTCCATGCCCAACCAAGGAGGCTCCGAGTGCCCATACTTCCCTACAGGTGGTTTTGTGGGCACTTGGAGAACAGCCCCCGCCCATCTCCTGCCATGTCACTGTGGGCTGTGGGGGCATGTGGGGTGTGGTGTGGTCCAGCTGTGCAGTCTGAGAAGCTGCAGAACCTGGTTCTGAAAGGCCTGGGAGACCGCTGCAGGCATGAGGGGCTTGGCCCAGGGCCAGGAGGGTGCATGTGGAGGCCACACATTTGCAAGGCACCTGGCAGAGGTGGTAGATGAAAACCAGGTGGAGTTTGGCAGAGCAGAGGGTCAGAAGGAGGCATCAGGGCTGCCTTTCCCTCCCTCTCCCTCTCCCCTGCCCACCTGCTTCGCCTTTCACCCCACTGTCTCTCAAGGAATAAGAGGCAGGGTTTGAGGATCCTAGTGAGGGCCCAAGAGATGGCTACAGTGCGAAGGACCCTTTTGGCCTGGCCCTCATCCAAGCTGCCCAGAAGGCTCTAGGCCTCTCTCTGGGCCCATGCAGGCCTGCGATTCTTAATCCACAGATTCCAGGTCCATAGGGATCTGTGGAAAAGACCGAGGGTCCAGGAGTGACTTATAGTATTCCCAACAGAAAGCTCCCTTTTACCTAAGATTAGAACTCACAGAACAGCCAGGTGGCCCAAACCCCCTCTAGCGTGAAATCTCAGTCACTGGCTGTGGGGATACTGGTCATAGTAATCAGAAACTGAACAGCAGTATGTACAATCTTTGCTTTATAAAAAGAAGTAGAGATACTAGTAACCAGCAGTGGATAAGTGCAGTTTGTCTAGTGGAGACTAGCTCTCAAAGCACAGAATCTTTCAGAGGAAAGCATCCAAAGGGACCCTTTTTCTATGCCAACTACTTTTGGACACCTCACCCCAACCTTCTCACTACCTCTGAGGCAATTCCTGTCATGAGCTTACTTTACAGAGGAGGAGACCAAGGCTTGGCCAGCCTGCCAGTTCTGTCCAATAGCAAGTAGGAAAACTGGGTTAGCCCAAACCTGTATGAACTCACAGATAGCTCTCCCCACACGGCTCTCACAGTGGGGGTACATGACCCAGTCCGGGACTTACCTGCCCAGGGTTGTAGTCCTGGACTGAGCCTGGGCTGTGTCTGCGGCAGGCTCTTCCTGGAGAACATCAAGCTGGAGCACAGCGAGGATGAGAGCAGCGTCCTGGGCCAGGGTGGAAGCGGCACCGTCATCTACCGGGCCCGGTACCAGGGACAACCCGTGGCTGTGAAGCGATTCCAGATCAAGAAGTTCAAGAACTTTGCCAACGCCCCAGCAGGTAAGTTGGCCCTAGTGCATCACCATTTTTATCAGACATGTGCTACCTCGGTCCAAGCTCCATGCCACCTTCTGGAGGCCTGAGGTCACACACACATATGTGCACATTCACACACGCGCATGCACACACACACACACACACACATCCACACAGGGCTTGAGGGGAGGGGTGGATGAGGCCCATGTGGACCGCAGGGCAGCCCTGCTTTGTACTTGGCAATTGAAGGCCAGGTCAAGGGAGACCTGAAAGTCACTCTTGGACATTGGCCTCCAGCCTAGCTGTGAGCCCCTGAGGACAGGAACCGCCCTGACCATATCCATCTGCTTCATGCCTGGCACATGGTGTGCGTGCGGTCTGACCTCAGGCAGACCCCTCCCCTCTGGGAACCTCTCAGCATCTCCCCCACTGCTAGGAGGGTGGGCACTCTGGATGAACGCATTGGGAAGCTTCCTACCACCCGCCCCACAGAGGAGGGAGCTCACTCTTGTCTTGGCACACTCAGACACATGCAACACATGTGATTCAGGGGTGTTTGCCACCTCAGGGACCCGTCTATGTAATGACCAGCCAGTGTGGGTGCTGGGGGCTCACTCCAGCCAGCTGAATACCATGTTTCCTCCCACCCCTGGTTCAGGGAGAGTCATCTTTATCATCATAAAGGCAATTTATATTATTGGTGGAAAACTTAGAATCCTAGAAAAGCATGAAGGAAATAGATCATGAAGGAAATAGGTCATAAAGGAAGAGGCAAAATTAGAATTGTCTGAAGAAAAATGTGACTTCTCACACAGAAGATCTAAGAGGCTCTGTTTCACAAATACCAGAGCCCATAAGAGTTTCCTAAAATTACTGGACATGGGCCCAACATCAGAATTCCACAGCACACCTGTACATGGGAATGCCCCTTTTGAAAAAGTTCTCCACAGCAGTAATAGAAACCATAAGGTAGTATATGGACCGGGTGCGGTGACTCATGCCTGTGATCCCTGCACTTTGGGAAGCCAAGGCAAGAGGATCACTTCGAGACCAGCCTGGGTGACGTAGCTAGACCCTGTCTCTATAAAAAATAAAATAAAATTAGACGTACATTATGGCACATGCCTATAGTCCTAGTAACTCGGGAAGCTGATATGGGAGGATTGATTGAGCTGGAGTTTGAGGTTACAGTGAGCTATGATCATGCCCCTGCACTCCAGCCTGGGCAATAGAATGAGACCCTATCTCTCTAAAAATAAAACAAAACAAAAAACATAAGACATTGGGGAATAATCAGTATAGCATTCAATTTAGTTCTCATCTAAACCCAATAGACGTATGTGTGTGAATTGACTGACTGTAAAATATATACAAAATTTTCAAAGTGCAAGAACAGCCAAGAATGTTCTACAATGGATGTGACAGTGGTGACATCAGAGGTCATAGGAGAAAGATTGACCCTACTCACTAAAGTGGGGCAGAGATTTGGATCTGACTTCACACCACAATAAAAAATTAATTCTCAATTGGTAAAGATGCAATTTGGAAAACAAAACTTTCACACTTCAAAACCAAACGGCTGCACACACATGGATCTGGCACAGTTGATACCTTTTCATTGCTAAGGTGCTTCATGCCATCGAAAACTCCATGTCCAACAGTCCCCAATTTTAAAATCTGACCTCTGGGGAGAGACAGAAACAGAATATAGAGGACAGGTGGAGCCTGGCCACACCCTGTTGGTGGCCCAGGGCCAGCTCTCTGCATATGCTGTTCATGACCTGGTGGCAGCAACCCGTGCAGGCACCTCGCTTCAAGGGCCTTGGGAGAAGGTCACAGCAATAAAATGGGATTGGAACCATGCCTCTGCTTTCTGGCCTGAGATGATGTGTCCCAGGCTGGTGGCTGCCCCACACAGGTAGCTGTGGACAGTTTTCTCTTGGCTGAGTGGATGGTGGTGGTGCTTCAGCCTTCTGGCTACTTGGTAAGGAATAAGGTGATCAACAGTGCCCAAAACCTCAGCATCCCTGAGGGTGGGAGGAAGGGACCTTGTTACGTTCCAGAAAGATCTCCTGAGTCTGCACGAAACACCAGGGATGCCGAAGGAATAAAACTCAGTGACTTATTGGGGGCCATTGGGCTGCCGACAGCAGGGCGTGAATGGCTGTGAGGGCCGTGTCTGGGTGGGGACATGTGGCAGCCCTCTATCAAGGGGCTGATTGGACCCCTGTGAATACCCAGAAACCACTGAATGTGACAGGGCATGCTCAGCCCTTGAGGAGGAGGGAGCTTGCTATCTGCCCACAATGCTACCCTTTGGGGCCAAGTTGGGGGTAATAATGTTGCAACCCCTGAGATAATTTGTGCCTTAAAATGCAAATTCCTATCCCACCCGTCCTGTAAGGCAGCTCTGAGTGTGTCAAGGACACCCACCCTGTGGGACTGGCCAGGCCAGGTCACCCACCCCTTTGTGCCCCATGTCCTCACTGGGCACCGATGGCTGTGCTCTCCCTGTAGACACCATGTTGAGGCACCTACGGGCCACGGATGCTATGAAGAACTTCTCGGAGTTCCGGCAGGAGGCCAGCATGCTGCACGCCCTGCAGCACCCCTGCATCGTGTCACTCATGGGCATCAGCATCCACCCGCTCTGCTTCGCCCTGGAGCTGGCCCCACTGAGCAGCCTCAACACCGTGCTGTCCGAGAACGCCAGAGGTACCGAGGCGCAGAGGACATCCCACGGTGGGGGAGCGGGCCAGAGGGGGCTGGGGGCCCCACCTGACCCAGACCCTGGGGGCCAGCCTAGCCCCAGCAGGCAGGGTGGGCCTTGGGGAAGCTGAGGCCCATCTGGCTCATGCAGCCATCCCCTGGGTGTGCAGCAAGGTACCTCACCAAGTCTATATGCTACATGGGGTCCTGGCGAGGACAGGGATGCTCACACTGTGGCGTCAGATAGAAGCAGGCACCAAGACCTGCCTCTTGGCCACAAATCAGGAAGTTGCTGAGTTTATTTGCCTGAAAAGGGTAATAATAGCACCTCACCGGCCCCCCTCCCCCGCCGTGCCAAAGGGCATCAAGCCCACTGGCTGCATAGATCACTCTTTAACTGTACCCGCCACCACTGCTAAGACCCTGATCCTGGGGTCAGTGCCATATCTTATTTTTTAGTGAAATTTTGAAGTAATTTTCCTTGAGGAATAGGTGACTAAACTCCAGTAAAACTGCCAGAGGGAGAGAGGTGGCTATCTTTGACTAGGGAAGAAGAAATGCTACTAAAATCAATCATTTCTGCCTTAATAGAAATTGTAATTAGTGAAGTTCTTGTCTCTGCAACTCACCTCTTGACAGCAGGACAACCTTGACCAAAGATGAACTCTAGGGAGTTTAAATCCTTGCACTTTTAAGAAAAACACCAGCACTGTTTCCTTTAAGAAGGTCATTCTCTGTCCCTTCTGGCATCTAGCATGAAGATTAGTGAGAATGTGTCAGTAGAACATACAGTATCCAGGGAGAGAGACAGAAGTCAGGAAGGCAGTTGCTATGATGATAATTTGATTCTACCAAAATTGAGATTTTGATAAATTTGAAAATTGTTATTTTTTTCTTTGCAAGATTCTTCCTTTATGCCCCTGGGACACATGCTCACTCAAAAAATAGCCTACCAGATTGCCTCAGGCCTGGCCTACCTGCACAAGAAAAATATCATCTTCTGTGACCTGAAGTCCGACAACATTCTGGTGTGGTCCCTTGATGTCAAGGAGCACGTCAACATCAAGCTGTCTGACTACGGGATTTCAAGGCAGTCATTCCACGAGGGTGCCCTAGGCGTGGAGGGCACTCCTGGCTACCAGGCCCCAGAGATCAGACCTCGCATTGTGTATGACGAGAAGGTACTGCCTGGCCCACTACTGTCCCCTGGCCCAGTCCCACGGCGCAGGAGCCCAATCCTGTCTGGGGCCAGCCAGGCAGTCATGGTGACACCTGGGTTTCTGGGCTCAGCCCTCCCACAAGCATACTTTTCTCCCTCTTCCATGCTCATTGAGGGAGGTTCTAGCTAGAGCCAGAGGGGCACAGGGGTCTGTGTCTGTCTCTCATGATAAGGTTGACTTCTCCTTCGCTTCAGAATTCTCAAACCTCGATTCTGAAACATTGTGGAGGTTGTAAGCAGTGGTTGAAGAGTTCAAGACAGAAATAGATCTGGATTTGGGTCCCAACTCACATTTAGATATACCAAATGGGGACGTGGGGCCAGACTTGCCTGGGGCTCATGAGGAGCAGACAGCGTAAGGATGGGAAAGGCTCCTGGCCTAAATGTGCTGACCACAAGGTGCTGGCCAAGTCAAATGCAAGCCAGGATTCTGGCAGAATGCATGGTCTCTGGGCAACTGCACAGCCAGCCTCAGTTGAGACGATGACTAAGTGCTTATCTCTTGATAACATTTACTCCCCATAGCTGTTTGGTAGATACAGGCACACAAGCAACCTGAAGTCATACCACGTATATGTTGCATCTAGTGCCAGTTTTGTTCATTAATTACCCAGTAGTGAAATTCCCCTTGCCTGTAATTTTTTGTTACTTGGTGATTTTCAGATGGGCCATTGACTAACTGCTGTCAATGACCTACGCATGTGGGTTAGCTCAGCACTTGCGGCTGGAGCCCAAGATAGAAAAGGCAAATCAGAACCACAAAAATGAGAGCGTCCTAGTAGCAGGACTCAGACAAGGTGTTCACCTTGAAACTAAGTTACAATATTACACATTCGCATTTAAAATTCTTGGATCTATTTCAGTCATTTTCCTGCTGAAGTGTTCTGCCTTGATTCTTATAAGGGTCTATATAGGTCTATATAACTTCCCTTGTCGGGCCTTTTTATGACAATTAAAACTAGAGGAGATAACATGTGGCTTTCTGAGAATCACTCCCCTTTGTATGAGTTGCATACACAGCTCTTCTAGTACCAAATATGTTGAGCTGAGGGTCTGTGTTTTCCCTCCTTGTCTTAATACTCAAGGATAAAGACCATAGCCTCCTTGGAGTTCTTACTTGGTGACAAACAGCAAGTTCTCAGTGTGAGGATGGATGGATGGATGGTTGGATGGATGGATGGATGGATGGATGGATGGATATCGGATGGATGGAAGGAAGGATGAATGGGACATTGGTAAATGGACGATATGGTGGGCAGGCAGATGGATGGATGGGTAGATAGAAAGATGAATGAATAAATGGACAAATGTTGCCGGACGGGTAGATGAGAAGGTGAATAGATAAAAGTGCAGAAGGACAGGCATATGAATGGATAGACGGATGGATTGGATGGATAGACGGTTGGGTGGGCGGATGGATGCATAGATGGATAGATGGATGGATGGACGGACAGACAGAGGAATGGATGGATGGATGGACGGAGGGATGGACGGATGGATGAGAAAATGTTTGGATAAATGGACAGAAGAACAGGTGGTTAGATGGTGGATAGATGGGTAGATGGAGCATGGATAAACGGACAGAAGTACATGGTCAGATGGCTAGTCAGATGCACAGATAGAGATGGATGGGCAGATTAGTGAATGGATTGACAATGGTCTCCCTTTGGACAGGGCCCATGTTTTCCTTGTCTAATTGTCTCTGCTCCCTCCACCTCGGGGCATAAGGAAGTCACTGGGCCCATTCAGGGGGTCTGACTTGGCTTGCTCTCTGCCCAGGTAGATATGTTCTCCTATGGGATGGTGCTCTACGAGCTGCTGTCAGGACAGCGTCCTGCACTGGGCCACCACCAGCTCCAGATTGCCAAGAAGCTGTCCAAAGGCATCCGCCCAGTTCTGGGGCAGCCAGAGGAAGTGCAGTTCCATCGACTCCAGGCACTCATGATGGAATGCTGGGACACGAAGCCTGAGAAGGTACCTGGGAGCACAGAATCTGGGCCCTGGGGCGTCCTGCCACATGGTGGAGGCTGTGCATGTGTGACTGTTCACCCACCCTTCTTGAAGAGCAACTGGTGACCCTTCTCTGCCCATCTCTTTAGGAGGCGGTATTTACTTCTCCTGACATACCCAGTTTCATTCTCTTTGTGTATGTCACTCTCAGGAAGCGTGGACTTTCTTTTCCTTCTCACTCTCGTGTCATTTCATCATGCAGACAGAGAATATCAACCCCTTTATAGCAATATGCACCCTATGCAAGAGCAGAGAGAATATAAGTACCTCCTTGTAAGGTACTGGGGAAAGTTTGCTTATGAGAAGCAGGGGTCATATTGGAATGGTAAAGCTTGTTTTTTATGTTTGTTTTAGTGTGTGTGTGTGTGTGTGTGTGTGTGTGTGTGTGTGTATAAGAGGCCAGTGTTTTCAAGGTTAAAACTCTTTTATCAAATCAGACAGACCTGTTTAATGTATTAGGAGTAAACGGTATTCTTTAGAAGAGTGTGTCCTTAGCCAGGCACAGTGGCATGCATCTGTAGTCCCAGCTACTCAGAAGGCTGAGGAGGAGGATCACCTGAACCCAGGAGTTCAAGGCTGTACTTTGCTATGATTATACCTGTGAATAGCCACTGCACTGTAGCCTGGGCAACAGAAAAAAAAACCCATCTCTTAAAAAAAAGAGGAGACGGGGGAGAGAGAGAAGAGGAGTGTATATCCTTGAGGAGGGGATGGAATATTTGGGGTTTAGGCTAACCTGACAAGCTGAGCTGAAGTTACCATGGCTGATGGTGCTCCAGACATGTGGATGGGTTTGTTTCTGGCCTCTGGAACCATTTCAGCCTCTTGTTTGGATCCGGCCCTGAATGAGCAGATCCCATCCTTCCTCCCTGGGTGGAGCCGGTTGATCCCCTGGGCACAATCAGCACCCATCTCTCTGTGAATGTCTCACCCATGCCCCGGCCTCTCTCCCTCAGCGCCCTCTGGCCCTGTCGGTGGTGAGCCAGATGAAGGACCCGACCTTCGCCACCTTCATGTATGTGCTGCCCTGTGGGAAGCAGACGGCCTTCTTCTCGTCCCAGGGCCAGGAGTACACCGTGGTGTTTTGGGACGGGAAGGAGGAGTCCAGGTGAGCTCCTGACACCTGCCTTGCCCTGCTGGTATTCAGGGTGGAGGCCACCATGGAAGCTGGGAACAGAATTGATGATGACCACAGTGAGTTTAGTTTAGTTGATAGTGGCATCCGAAGCCAGGCTGGCATCGTGTCAGGAGAGAGCAGGTAGAGGGAAACAGTCTGCATGGATAGACGTACGTGTGTGTGTACAGTTTTGTGGTTAAGTGGTATCTGCCAGGGGTATGGGGGCACTGGTCAAAGAAGGGTTTGTATTAAGATGAGAGCGATGTGCAGCTTGGTGGTGGAGGTTGGGGGGTGCTGTGGGTGGGAGAGAGACAGTTACTGGAGCAACGGGATGCACAGTGAGGTGGGGAGCGTTTCAGAGCGGTTGGGAGAGCTTCCCAGAAACAGAGTCCCTGGGTCTTCCCTTCTACTTGCATCTCCTCTTCTCTGGGAAGGAGCAGGAAGATGGGGAGAGGTTGGGATACCCCAGGAGGAAGAGAAGATATGAGGTGGGCATGGGAGTCAGGGTAGGCAGGCAGCACGACAGTCCGCTGGTTGGGAGGTCGCTGGAAATGAGATGGTCAGCCTGGCCATGTGACTTCCTCCTGCATTTTCTGCTCCCCTTGTCGCAGGAGGGGTGACAAGGCAGTTCTCAGCAGAGCTGGGGTTTTGCCAGGAGGAAGAAGGGCCAGGGGAGCTGAGGGTGTTTTCAAGGGAGTGATTATAGAGAGGACCATGGAACCAAAGTGATGCCATACATCAAGGGAAGACACTAGAAAGTACCCAAGAGTCCTTGAGCTTGGTAGGTCAAAAAACCTATGAGGGTTATGGTACTAGGTGGGTGGGCCGAAAAACTAGGAGGTGTTGGTCAGAAGACACAGGCTTGACATTGGATGGGCGGGAGAGGCACAGTTAGTAGTAGAGACAGGGTTTGGGGTGCGAACTTGGGAGAGGGTGGCTGGGGTGGAGTGGGAAGGGAATCCCCAAGGAACATGCAGGAGGTCTCAACCAAGAGGCCAGGGTGCTGGAAAGACAGCATCAAAGACCGATGTCTAGAAATTCCCGTCTTATGTGGAAACCCACTGTCCTAGCCAGTATGCATTGCCTCCTCCACTGCATGCTCCTGCTGGGCTGGGCCCTGCTTGGGAATGCTTCTTTACCTTTTCAATCTTGCAGACCCACATCGGATACCTAAGACAGTTCTGCTCGGGGCACAGGAGCTCATCCCCAGTGGGAATTGAGAGACCTCTTTCTGTGACATGTGAGGTCCTTCAAAACTTGCTTCCAGCCAGGAGAAGCTCACAGGAGGGGAGGGCAGATGCTGGCCAAAAGCACAGAACATTGGAACTTGAGATTTGTCCGTGAATTAAGGAAAAGAGGTGGGGAAGAAAGGAGGACAAACAGATAAACAGGGTTCACACATGACAAAATTACAGTTGGAGGAAATAGGGCATATTATTATTCATGATTTTCTATCATCTTATTTTTTTCTAAATGAGTTATGTAGAATATCCTAATTTTGCTTTTTTTTTTCTTTTGAATCTCTGTCGCCCAGGCTGGAGTGCAGTGGCACGATCACAGCTCACCACTGCCTCTACCTCCTGGACTCAGGGAATCCTCCCACCTCAGCCTCCCAAGTAGCTGGCACTAAAATAATATATTTTGTTAATTTTTGTAGAAATAAAATCTTACTATGTTGCCCAGGCTGGTCTCAAACTCTTGGGCTCAAGCAATCTTCCCGCCTCTGCCTCCCAAAGTGCTGGGATTACAGGTGTGTGCCGCCTCATCTGGCCCCTAATTTTATTTTTTTAATGCATAAAAAAGACTGAAAAAAAGTGAACCCATATAACATTGAAGGAAGGTTTTGTTTGCTATTTTCCTATCATTTCTATCATCTGCAAATACATGTTATCAGTCAATGGCATTGAAAGTTTCCAAAACTTGATGACAAGAAAACTTTACCTTAAGAATTCCTAACCACCAGCTTACTGTGTTCTCTTGGATTAAGGAAAAGAGCTGTGTGAGGTGGGGTGTGTAACTTTCCACCCTGTCAGCTTCGGTCTCCTCTCCTGTGCAGTGGGTACCCGGGACACTCACCTAGGGCAGCGGGGACAGTAAATGACAAATCATTCATTCTCAGAACATTTATGTTGGGGCCATATTTTAAGCTGTTCCCCCGCCTCCCCTCCCACTGCCCAAGTCTCCTCTGGAATTTTATCAATATCTCGTCTTTGACCTTGACCTTATCTACTCTGCATCAAGGACTCCCCACATGACTGGGTGGGAAGGTTATGGCCATTGGGAGAGCAGTGCATGGTCTTGGTGGAGCCCACCAGGAGACAACTCTTGACCTTGGAGGTCACACAAGGAAGAAGGCCTTTCTCCTCATCAGGAATGCCCTTTCTCTGCCTGCAGTATGCCCCAGCTCTGCCCAGTGGGTAAAGCGTCCTTGATTCCCTCAGAGCAAGACAAGATACAACCATGAATTCAGAGGCAGAGGAGGTGGATGAGGCTTGCAGCTAACCAGCTAAGCTGGGACAAGGGACAGAGGCAACTCCTGGCTGCTGGGAGCTGAACGTACAACTGTTGCCCATCGTAGGAACTACACAGTGGTAAACACGGAGAAGGGCCTTCTGGAAGTGCAGAGGATGAGCTGCCCGGGCATGAAACTGAGCTGCCAGCTCAAGGTCCAGAGCTCCCTGTGGACCGCCACCGAGGTAACCACCACCACAGGGCCCTCAGCGAGGTGGGCTCCACTGGGTGTGACCCCTGGGGGGCCAGATTCATAAAAACACAGGACAGCAGGTCAACTCGACTTTCAAATAACCCCTTGCTCATCCTGGGCAGTTCCCAGAGCAATGCCATCAGTCCCGTGAAGTGGTGTACTGTGACCAGGGCATCTCAACCCTGCCTGTCGCTGGCTAGTGGCCAGGATTCAGGGTGATGAGTATCGGGTGTAGACTCCCAGTAAGAGGAGAAGTCCAAGAGATTGGTGATGTCCCCAGCTTTCCTATAACACTGCTGGGTCCACATAGCAAATCCAGTCTGCTCTGAAGGCCTTTGGCCTTCTCTTCAGGGAAGTTAACAAAAGGCCCAAAGAGCTGTCTTCTGAGAAACCTAGAGAGGAATAACCAAAAGCAAATGCTTTGATTTTATGGGTTGGGGGATAGATGGGTGCACGCTTTCCAGCCAGCAGTTTGGAAGTGTGGTTCAAATGTGTATCAACAGTCTCAAGTGTGCATCCCACTGAAGCTTTGGTAATTTTAGTGTTAAGAATGTATTCTAAAGAAATAACTATCACACACACACACACACACACACACACACACACACACACACTCCACACACAGAGGTCTATAAGAATGTTCATCCCAGAATAATAACTAATAGTGAAAATCTAGAGGGTGGCTAAATGTCTGACAACAGATTAGCCAAATTATGGAACACCCCCAAAACAGACAAGGGATGCATCGTTCCCTCCTAGAATATGTGAGAATGTGGGCTTCTGCCTAGATTGTATTGTCACATGAAAAGAACAGTGAGAAGACAGCATTGCAGCATGAGTCCACTTTCATTGGTACCACGTGCACACACAAATAGCACTGAAAACTTCTGAAGGGCTGTGCCCCCAAGTCCCAGGAGTGGTTTTCTATTATGGGCAGTTTTATTTTTCCTTTTTAGACTATTTTCTCATTTTCAAAGTCTCTGCAAAGAACAGAAATACGTAACCAACCAGAAAGCCTCAATCCATGTTACTTTTCAAGACCCATAGAGGATCCCCAATACCAAGTGCACCCCCATAGGAAATGGCAGGCACTTTCCAATCTGGGCCTCATGGTGGGCCCCTCTGCCTCTGCAGGACCAGAAAATCTACATCTACAGCCTCAAGGGCATGTGCCCCTTAAACACACCCCAGCGGGCCTTGGACACCCCAGCTATCGTCACATGTTTCTTGGCAGTGCCTATTATTAAAAAGGTGAGGTACGGGCAAAGGTGAGTGCATGGGTCTCTGACCCCTTTCCCTGCTTGGGTGGGTCTTCCAGCAGCTGGCTGGGAACAGCCCAAGGCTGTGTTGGGGCCTGGGGGACACAGAGCCACACCGTCTTAGACACAGTCTTAGAGATAGGCAAAAGGAAAGACCACACCAGACCCAGGCCATCATCAGCACCCTTCGGGCTTGGAAAACCTGAGCGCCCAGCCAGGCTGAGGGCTGAGTAAAACCCCCTTTCCACATCCGATGCTGCAGCACCTGACTCGGGCGATATGCCTATTTGTGCAGATGGTGCAAGAGAGCAATTGTGGGTGTGCCCTTTCCCTTTGCAGAACAGCAACACCCAGAGATTCTTCCCCACGTGCCCAGTCAGCACCGTCCCCCTGCCACTTGCCACTAGGTCCTGGAGGTCCTGCTCCCAACCTCCGCCACGCAGCCACCCTCCTCCTTCCATATCTTTCTCCTCCCAAGTGCTCACCATCCACCCCAGACCCTGGTCCCTCTTTGATCAGTATGGCCTGGAAGACTCATTTCTTCAACTTTCCAGGCCTGGCACTCTCCCCAGCCCAGGGCCCCGGAAGCTCGTCTGCACTTGGGATTAGACTCAGATTCTGCGAGGCTGTCCCTGCTCCCAGCCCCTGCACCCTCCCCACAGGACACCACACTGCCTGCCGGACCCTGGACATCCCAGACCCACCAGGAGCAGCCATTCCACATACCTCTTCCAGAAGGCCTCCTGTTTAGCTCTCAAGTCCTGTAGCCATGGCCCCTCCTCGGAGAAGCCTCCCCTCAGCAGGAGGCAGCTTCCTGGCTTTCCCAGGCTCCCTCTGGGATTCAGTCACTGCTCAAGCAGTTCTGGTTTTGTCTGTCCTGAGGGGCTTGTTTGTGCAGGAGGTGCCCACAGTAAATGCACTAGGAGCTTTTCCTAATGCTGCTTTGTTAACATGTGTTGACTGGCCAGATGCGGTGGCTCACCCCTGTAATCCTACCACTTGAGGAGGCTGTTGCAAGAGGATTACTTGAGCCCAGGAGTTCAAGACCTCATCTCTACAAAAATAAGATAAAATAATTTGTCAGGCATGGCGGTGTGTAGCTGTAGTCCCAGCTACTTAGGAGGCTGAAGTGGAAGGATCTCCTGAGCCCAGGAGGTCAAGGCTGCAGTGAACCACGATCATGTCATTGCACTCCAGCCTCAGTGACAGAGTGAGACCTCAACTGAAAAAAAAAAAGTGTTGACTTTTATCATCTAATTCCAGTTTGCCCTCTTACAAAATGGGGATAATAAGAGATGGTAAGATGGATCTCTGGGCCTAACATACACAAAGCTCTAGGCCCATGCACTTGGTGAATGTGAGAATCAGTATTACTTCCTGACAGTCGTGAAATACGTGAGCTCTTCTCTCTACCCTTCTTCAATTTCATTTCTTAAAAAAAAAAAAAGGTATGAAATGAACCTTAGAGTCATTTATGACTGTGGCCCCAGGGGCGAGGCTGGCCAGCTCAGGACCCTGCCCACACCAGAATGCAAGAAAACACAACACAAAGTGCTATTGAAGACCATTGCTGGCCGGAGCCCCCAACCAGACACCACCTCCCGCACAACCAGAGGGAATAAAGCCGGCTCTGTGCAGAGCCTCCCGTACAGGGTGCCTGCCCCCTCGGAGGCCGTCCTGCCCGCAGCCACACAGGGCAGACCTTGCATTCTTGCACGCGCATGCACATTCACACCCAGCCGAAACATGGTGCTCCCTGCCCTGCCCGGCCCTAGCAGGGATGCCAGATAGAGACTCCGTGCCTGTTTGCCTTGGCTGCTTTCTTTCCCTGAAATCCTGAAGAGGGATTTCGATAAACTTTCTTAGAGTCTATTGCCCTGGCTGCTGAGCTGCAGGCTGGTAGCTCTATGCCTTTGGACAGCCAGTCCCCTGAGTGCCACTAGCTCCCCATGAGAAGGCTTCTGCCCTGCACCCTCACTGGTATTCGGCCTAGCCCCCTGCTCTGGCCTGACTCTGGTTTTGTTCTCTGGAACTCCTCCTAACCTTGCCACTAACAGACTCCTCTTCTAGGCTGCAGAGCTGCACTCTGTTCCCCACTCTGCCCCAGGAGGTGCCCTGGGGAGGCATTCAGTATGGGTACTGCAAATTTGGCCTCTACCTGGTGACCTCTTGTAGCTGTAGAAAACCTCATGCTTCAGTGCACCTCAAGCACCCCGTCCACATCAGCTGGGCCACAGATATCCTCACGTATACATAAGCTGGGAGTGTGGCTCAGCAACTGAGATGCACCTCCACAAGGGTCAAATTGGAAGCGATTTATTCTAGAATTCATTCAGTAAATGCCTATTATCCACTAGGAGCAGAAAAGCCAAGTAGAGTCACAGGGTCACAGGGAGGAATGAGTACCGAGGGGACAGTGTTAGGATACAGGGACCAGCCCCTGCTCCCAGGGAGCGCTCTATAGGCAGGGGGCAGCACACAGATGCCACCTTCACATTAACAAGTAGCGCTCATGGGAGGGAGGGTATCTGGTCCTGCTTCTATAGTAGACTTTGGCAGCCTCGAGAAGAAGGCAGCTCCCTGTCACCCACTCTGTAAGAAGCAGTGTGGTGCAGGTGACACACGCTCTTGCTGGGTGCCGTGGGCCCTGCCTCTGAGGGCATGTTCCTTTCCTTGCCACAGGGAGGGCGCGTGTGGCTCTGCAGGGCCTGAGTTGCACCCCCTTGAGAGCGGGCCCAGACGTTCCTGTGGCAGTCCCGGCCTCTGTAGGGGCTGTGCTTCTCCAGGTGTGTTGGTGGACAGTGCGTGTCCTTAGTGTGCATGGAGGTGAACCTAGTGCTGCCGTGTGTCTCTCCTGAAATTTTGCGTGTCTCCTCCCGCAGAATTCCTACCTGGTGTTGGCGGGCCTGGCTGATGGGCTTGTGGCCGTGTTTCCTGTGGCACGGGGCACCCCAAATGACAACTGCTCCTACCTGTGCTCACACACAGCCAACAGGTCCAAGTTTGGCATCCCAGATGAAGACATGCGGCAGAACCCCTACCCAGTGAAGGCCATGGAGGTGGTCAACAGCGGGTCCGAGGTCTGGTACAGCAACGGGCCAGGCCTCCTCATCATCGACTGTGCGGCCCTGGAGATCAGCAGGCGTCTGGAGCCCTACTCAGCTCCCTCGGTGGTCATGTCGCTCACATGTAGCTCTGAGGGCAGGGGGGATGAGGTTGTCTGGTGCCTGGATGACAAAGCCAACTCCTTGGTGATGTACCATTCAGCCACCTACCAGCTGTGCGCCCGGTACTTCTGCGGGGACCCCAGCCCCCTCAGGGACATGTTTCCCGTACAGCCATTGGACCCAGAAGCTCCGGGCAGCCACACGGCCAGCCCGAAGAAGCCCGAGGGGGACTCCATCACGGACGTGAGCATCATGTACAGCAAGGAGCTGGGCATGCAGATCCTGACCCACCAGGACTCGCTGACTGACTACTGCTCCATGTCCTCCTACTCCTCGTCCCCACCCCACAGGGTGGCCAGGTCCCTCCCCAGCCTGCCCAGCTCCCCAACCAGCTCCTCCAGTGTGCCTTTCTCCACCGACTGTGAGGACTCGGACAGGCTGCATGAGCCTGGGGCTGCCTCCAACAGGTCTGAGCACGACCTGACTCCTGTGGACGGGGAGACTTTCAGCCAGCACCTGCAGGCCGTGAAGGTCCTCGCCGTCAGAGACCTCATTTGGGTCCCCAGGTAAGTTTTCTGTGGGTTGGGGACGCCATCAGGGCATGTGCATTGCTCCTGCTTTGGGGGTAGAGCAAGGGGAAACCTATGGCCTCTTTAAAGACAATGTGGAGGCCCATCAGGAGCTATTCTTCCAAGAGGTTTTGCTCCCTAGACCTGGAATCTGGAGTGTTCTCTTTAGCAAATCTAAACATGGCTGCACAAAAGCTCATCTGCCCACCACAGCTGAGGTGACCACAAAAGGAGAGCCACAGCCAGTTGTGCTTAAGTTTCTACTGGGAAAGTTCTCCTCTGCCCCGGGGTCTGCACCCTCTCTGTAATCTAATCCCTTAGTGGAAACTGTGTGTTGTTCCCTGCCTCCTGTGCCTTTCTGCACACCGGCTCCATTCCCCCTGGAGAGCACAGCCACAAACAAAAATGTTTCCCCCTCTCGGCTTTGGTTTCTCAGGCGCGGTGGAGATGTTATCGTCATTGGCCTGGAGAAGGATTCGGGCGCCCAGCGGGGCCGAGTCATCGCCGTCTTAAAAGCCCGGGAGCTGACTCCACACGGGTAAGACTGAGGGGTGGCTCCGTTAGGACCCATGGGAGCGGCATGGGAATCTGAGGCCCCCACCAGGTCCCGCATGACGGTCTTACAGTGCCTTCTGTTCTCACAAATAGACAGCAGGCTCCACCATTGTGGCCATAAGGCAATACAGGAGCAAGATGGAGTCGTCCCCCAGGCAGCTTCTTGAGGCTCAGCACTGGCCATTCTGGGATACTCAGTGCACCTGTAGACCAAGTGCCCTACCTGGGGTGTGTCTCCAGGGCCAGAGCTCAGCTGCAGTTGAAACAGGGTACATCCAGATGGCGCACTGTACTTCCTGCCAAGTAGGGGAGCCCTGTCCAAGGTGTCCACCTGCCCATACAGTACCAGATGGGACCAGATGACACAAGCACTCCTTGCTGTCCCCAACCCTGGGGTCACGGCTTCTGCCCTTCCTGGGCTCCGGCAGGACTCCGTGCCCATCTGCAGGTGGGTGCCCCCAGGAGGCATGCCAGTCTCCCTGTGAGGGTGAGCTGGCAGGGCGGCCTGTCCAGGACATGGTCTGCATGACTGGGGCGATGTGAGGCTGGTGCCAGGCCACACTCGTGACAGTGAGTATACCCCTTACTCTACTACCAAGCCCCACAAGGTAAATCTTCCAGATGAAAAACCCCCCTCAATTCAAACATGCATGTATGCGTGTACGCATGCGTGTGTGTACTTTGGAGCACATCTACTTCACACACTAGGCCTGTTTCTTCACAGCGTGAGTTATCACCCCTCCACGAGTAGTAGGTCTTTAATTCATCTAAAGCATAAGGAGCTGTAGAAACCCCATTCAGCCTATCTCTCCCAGAGCAGGACGGTGACCACAGAACCAGCCATGGTAGCCCCCACTCCTATGCCTGCCACCATTGAGCTTTCTCAGTGAGTCCCAGAGCTGGTGACCCTCGCAGTTATGGGTTTCTCCTGAGACCCGGCTGAGTCCATGGACAGCAGCCTGGAACCAATGGAGTTCCCAGTTGACAGGTTGGGCTTCTAGAACAAGTGGGTCTATAGAATCCAGGCCGGTGACCTCAGCATACCTGCCCTAGTATCCCCTGATCTTTGCCTGGTGGTTTTTTCCTCTTTCTCCCCAGGAGAAAGAGGCCCAAGCAGCCAGCTGAAAGGAAGGCGCTGGCAAGGCCACACGGGAGTCTGAGGCCTCTGGACATTCTGGTTTGCAGGATAGCCTCAGTGCCATGCAGGGCACACACAGCACCTAAGGAAGAAGTGCAGACAGTATGTAGAGGTGACCCCAGGTCAGGAAGGCCACACAGAGTCATCCACTGTGGTGCAAAAGGAAACTTTTAATGTACCTATTGACCATGCAGACAGTCCACAGCCTCAAAAAAATTGTCTATAGCTATGACTTTGGGGCAACAGGTTTTCTGCCTGATATATTACCCTGTGTTTCCTAAGTATAAGGGAACAATGAGAGAAGAATCATCACACTGTGAGTCTCAGTTGACCAAGGAATAGGGTTAAAGCTTAAACTCGTTCATGGGCCATTCACCAGCAGGAATTTGGGTCAGTATTGTTTTCTGAACACTTTGGGGTCTGAGTCAAGGATGTTGCTCTGATGGCATCAGTGGTCTTCTAGGGAGTCGAACCCTTACAGACAATGCCCATGAACATGACTTGATGCCCTTGACCTTGCTTTGGACTGTATAAAGACTCAGCCCACAGTCTGATGCACCGGAAAGAAACGGGGAGAGCTGGGATACACATGATGCCCTTTTAGCCCGCTCTGTCCTCCCAAGTAGGCATAGAATGAGGGTCCCAGCCCTACCCAAGCAGGAACCCCTGTGAGTTTTCTCACACCCCCTCTCTCTGCAGGGTGCTGATGGACGCTGCTGTGGTGGCAAAGGACACCATTGTGTGCGGCTTTGAAAATGAAAACACAGAGTGGTGCCTGGCTGTCTGGAGGGGCTGGGGCACCAGGGAGTTTGACATTTTTTACCAGTCTTACGAGGAGCTGTGCCGGCTGGAGGCTTGCACTCGCAAGAGAAGGTAATTCCTGGGGAATAACTGTCACACTTGGAGCTGACTGGCCCAGGGCCGCAGCCCGACCCCTTCAACCCCTCAGCTAGCAGCCTGCAGCCTCCGAAGACCAGAAGATAGATGAAGCTCTCCCCTGAATCCCTTGCTGCTAAGAAGTGCTGAGAAGTTACCAGCCTGGTGGTGGTTTGAGGGTTCTCCACTTCTCTAGGGCAGAATTACCTGAATACCCCATCCCCCATTATTGGTTTTACAGCCCAAGGGAAGACAGTGGGATCTGGCCAGGAGAGGCCTCCTCCTGCCTCCCCCATCAGCTTTCAGGTGAAAGGGGGAGGGGGATCCCATTCTGGGCTGGGTCACACAAAGGGGGCTGGGCCCTCCTGCCACAAAGGGCCTGTCCATTTGCATCCCAGGCCTCAGATGGAATTACACTAGGGGCTCTGGTTGGGAAGCAGTTCAAGGCAGGAGAAGGCTGTGACCCCTGCCCTTTCCCCCCAGAGACCCCAGGCTCTCAGCACATTTCACAAGCTCCCGAGTCCCCGGGGCCTGGGGCCCCGGCTTAGGCAAGCCAAGATCAGATGTCTCCCTGCTCAGGAAAGTCTCTGTGTGGGGAAACCCCCATAAGGACCCTGGGGGAGGGGTGCTGCCCAGTCCAGGGAATGAATGAGTTCCTTTAAGTGCCACCTCTGGAAAGCCCAGAGGCACACCATGGGCACCGGCTCCGCCCTCACATTCTTCTGCTGCTGACAAAAGGAAGGAGAAACTCAACCAACTGACTCAAGAAAAGGCCTTGTGTTTATGGCTTCGTAAAATAAATTTGGGTGCAGCTGGAGCACAAGCCCTATTTGTTTGCACATAATAATCTTGTTTATCACTTTAACAAATGAAGGAATATCACCATGGTTAGGACTCTTATTGTGAAATCACATCATTTGGGACTTATACCAATTATGTATTTGCGGAACGGTCACTGCACAGCAGGATGTGGAAAGGGGAGAGGGAAACTATTGACAGGGAATTGACGGGCACAACAGCAAACATTTTTATAGAATTATGCACACACATACATGCACATGTGCACACATAGCCACATCTTTGCCAAAAGTTACCATTTGAAGCTACATAAGCCAGAATGGGGGTTTATGAGAGCTCACACTCTGGCTCAAGGTTGCTGACCCTTTTCTAAAATTAAATTATAAAGATCAAATTCAGTATTAGCTGGAGTATGCAGGCAGATGTGATTCTTTTCATCTGAAAATAAACAGACTCTCTCAAGAATGAAACCGTAGCCTCTGTCGAGTACTTGTGGCAACCCCACAGATTCAATCCCTCCCACGCCCACTCAGTGCCTGGGGAGAATGGGCAGGCCGTCCTTGGTCAACATGGTGCATGCAGGCTGCCTGCCCCCTGAAGCTTCCACGGATGGAGACGTTCTGTCAGCCACAGGCGTGGGGAAAGTGAGTCCCCCACCTCCTCTTGATGTGAATTTTTCAGGTCATTCTGGACTTCGAGAGTGTCAGCTCAGTAGGTTGGCCAGCCAAGCCCCAGAGAGGGTCATCAAGGGGCTGGTAAGCCTAGCCCTGGAAGTGTCAGCTCTAATGGGCTGGCAAGTCAAGCCCTGAGAGTGTTGCTGGTGCCGTGGGCCGGCAAGTCTAGCCTGCTGGGTGTCTCAGCTTCGTAGTCTCGCCTTCTTCCAGCAGCTCTCCTGGCTCAACTGGCTCCATCGGCTGGCAAGCCAGCCTCTAGGGTGCACAGCTTTGCAGCTCTGACGGTCTTCTACAGCTCTTCAGGTTGTAGTTCTTCAGGGTCAAGGTTCTTGCCTCATGCCCAGGAAGAATGAGGGACAGGGATAGAATGAGGGACAGGGATGGACGGAAAGTGAGTAAACAGGATGTATTAAGAGGACAGAGAAGCTCCCACAGTGGGAGGGGACCTGAAGGGGTTGCCTGTCTGGGGTCAAAACCTGGTGCTTATATAGCCCTAAGTCCAAACTGATTGGCTCTCACTAGCTGTGAGCTGCTGCTGTTTTGATTGGTCAGTATTAAGGACCAATCGGCAGGAGGTGGGGGCCTAATGGTGAGCTGATTGGTGGCTTTTCCATCCCAGCAGTGAGTACTTAAGCTCTAGCTTGAGAGGCTGGCAGGGAGCTTGTTTACCAACCCTGAGCCTGAGAGGCCTGCCAGGAGTTCACTACATTGTTACCAGAGAACTCACCTGTCTGTCTGCCTAGACTTTCTCTAGCTGTCTCCTATCTCACTCTCACCAGCCTGAGCACTGAGTCCTGGGGGACAAGGGTCTGTGCCTGCTGCCCACTTCACTGCCATTCTCTCACCCTGGTCCCTCAGCAGGGCCGTGGGGGTTGCCACTCACCATCTCCTCTTACCCCAGTGCCCCACAGCTGCCCAGTTAACTCCCCAATTGCAAACTAGGTTCTGTCTGTCCCCTGTCCAAGCCAAGAGAGCCTCACAGAGATAGGGAGGGAACCTCTTCACACCACACTCAGAAGTCATACAGGAAATGGGTGATGAACTTGACTGCATGGAAATTAGAAACTTACATGGAAAAATTACCACAAAGTCCAAAAGTGACAAATAGCATCCTTATCTTGTATACAAGTAGTTTGTACCTATCAATAAGAAAGAGAAAACCCAGCTTTGGGAGTCTGAGGCAGGAGGATCACTTGAGGCCAGGGGTTCGAGACTAGCCTGGACAACATAAACAAGATCCCCATCTCTACTAAAAATTTAAAAATTAGCTAGGAATGGTAGTGCATACCACCCAGGAGGCCGAGGCAGGTGGATCACTTGAGCCCAGGAGTCTGAGGCTTCAGTGAGCTATGATCATGCCACTGTACTGCAGCCTGGGTGATGGGTGACAAAGCAAGATTCTGTCTCCACAAAAAAAGAAAAGAGAAAATCCAGTAAAAATACTTGCAAAGGGCAAAAACAGGCAATGGAATTACAAATTAACAGAGGCCCCTAAACATCAGCACTGGACCTCTCCCAGCCGTAAGGAAAATGTTGGCAAGATTAAATGTCAGCAATTATTTCTTTCTTTTATTTTTTGAGTTGGAATCTCACTCTGTTGCCCAGACTGGAGTGCAGTGGCATGCTCATGGCCACCGCAGCCTCGACTGCTGGGCCTAGGCAATCCTACCTCAGCCTTCCAAGTAGCTAGAACCACAGGCGTGTGCCACCATGGCCGGCTTATTTTTTTATTTATTGTATAGACGAGGTCTCACCAAGTTACCCAGACTGGTCTCGAACCCCTGAGCTAAGACAATCCTCTCACCTCGGTCTCCCAAGAGTTGGGATGACAGACTTGCCCCACCGTGCCTGGCCCAGCAATTATTTCTTAAACAACTAAAGTCAGGTGCTGTCATTCCAACACCACTGCCATAATCAGACAAGAATCTCTGTTTCGAGGAGCTCACTTTGAGGAGGTAGAGATGACAGAGAGCATATAAACAAATGAGATATAGAGCTGCCAGGCCATCATCCTGGGAGATGGGAGGCTCATGACCCAGAAAGCTGCCACAGCTGAGGCTGGAAGTCCTGCTCCAGGAGGTCCCACTGGAGACTGAGTAATGAGAAGGAAGCAATCTGTGACGCTCGGTGGGCACCAGGTGGCAAGGCCGACACAGGCAAAGGCCCTGCGGTGGGACTGGAGCCTTGAAGGAGGGGGAGTATGAGGCTTGCTCAGAACAGAATGACAGGCACAGGTCTCCACTGCCACTCCTGGGGGATCCAAGCAGGAGTATTAAAGGATTTAATCGTTTTTACAAATCACTTTGCTGAGTGGAGGGTGGACGACTGAGGAGGTGGTTCCCATCGGGCTACCCCTAGAAGGCATTTCAACCTTAGTATCTACCAACATTTCAAGTGCTAATGCCTTTTGACCTGGCAGTTCCACTTGCCTATTCGGTCCTGAAATATTTGTGAACGTGCCCAAAGATACAGAACAAGGTTGTTCATTGTAGTATTTCTGATAATGGCCCCAAACAGGAAACAACCCAAACCCCTATCAGGAGGGAAGTCATAAAATTCCTGTCCATGCAACAATGCGATACTCTGAAGTCTTTCAAAAGGAGGAGGCAATACTGACCACACTGGTCTGAAATGTTCTCTGAGATATAATAAATGTATTGTTTTTTTAAGAAGCAGCTTGCAGTGCAGTATGCACTGAGTTACCACTTGTGTAAAAGATACTGTAGAGCTCCGCATATGTGCACAGGGAAGTACCTGAAGGACACCCAAGAGCCTGGTGGACATCGGTTGCCTCTGGGCAGGAGAGCTGAGGACAGGATAAGCAGAGGGAGTCGGCCCTTTATCCTGCTTCAGTCCTCCCTCTCTGCACGCTGAATGGCACGCACGCCTTTTCATAGCAGTAACCCAGGCTGGGGGCAACTTCTCTCCTAGCCCTAAAGTGCCTCTCGGCCTTGGCCTCCAGAGGTAATGGGGAGCCCCCCTCTGTCCCCTCTCCTCCGAGGCTGCCTGACCTCATAGAGGGAAGGTCCCGGGGCAAGACAGCGCCCTCAACAATTCTGTCGTGTCCATCTGGCTCCATGGTCATGGCTGAAGTAGAACCTCCCTGGCTGTCTTTGGAATGCAGGCACAGAGCCCCAGGTGAGGTGGATGTGTACAGCAGGGGGACAGGTGTGAGGGGCTGGGGACGTGGGCCAAGGTCAATAGGCTCTGACTCTGACCCACCCTTGTCTGGAATGGGAGGGTGTGCAGCCCAGCGCAGGGTCAAGGCCCACCCCTCACCAGCAGATGGCACCCAGGCCTCCTCCGGGCCACCCTGCACCCAGGAAAGCAGAGGCCTTTCTAATGCCTGGTCACCAGGTAGGCCACCACCACCTTCCAAAGCCACTGACTGCTTAAACCTGCAGAGTCTTTGCAATGACCATGCAGAGCGGGGTGTTGGGGAGTGTCGGGACCTGTCTCCTTGCATGGTGCCTCCCAGGCAGGAGCACAGGATATTCTCCTTGTAATTGCTCCCAAAAAAGCACTTGGGGGGACCTGAGAGAGATGTGGTGACCCAGAATCTCCCCTAAGGCTTGGGAAACCTGAAACACGCCACAGGCAAGCAGGTTACTGCCCTGAAGGAGCCACACCTTCCCACATGCCAACACATGGGACCTCAGACTCTGTGCACCCCTCAATGCCTAACAATATTTTCTACCCAAGGAGAATCGAGCAGGGGAGAAATGGGGCAGGGGTGTGTTCACTATAATGGCACTTTGACAATCGCTGTGCCAGAATCTGCTAGTCGCTCCCCTTCTGCTCTGTAGCAGACCCTGATTTTGTTGATGCATCATTTCCCAGCGGTCTTTGCAGGTGCGGGGTGAACTCAGCACTGAGTTCGGGCCAGGAGTGACATGGATGTGGTCAAGTGGGGATTCAGGGAAGCTCCCTCAAAGGAGACTGGGTCAGCGGGAGCTCCTTTGGCCCTGCCCCCACTTCTCTCCTCCTTGCAGAGGGTGGGTGTCACAAGGACCCGAGGAGAGCAATGGGGGCAGCCCTCCATGCCAGCCCTGGCTGCCAACCTCCAGGCTTCATGTGACCTCATGGAAAAGGAAGCCACTTCCGTGTTTAAGCCAGTGTTCTTCGCCTCTCTATGACTAGCAGTCAAATGCAATTCCTGCTGCTCAGCTACATTTTCCATGAGCCCGACCAGAGTACTGAGAGCTAGTGAGTAAGCCAGCCATAACAAGCTTCTGCTCAAGTTCAAGCAGGGGGCCCTGAGAACTGCGGACTGGAGCATTGTGGGGCCGGACATGCCCAGAGCTAACCTCTGCCTCAGGAGAGCTGGGTGTGGTGTGGTCAACAGTGCTTTCTCTCGAGGCAACAAACAGTCATTTTGCATCAAACCACAGTCTCAAAGAGGGTCCGAGGTTTCAATCAAAGGCCAAAACTTAAGGTGAGGTGACTTTGATGGTCCTGCGAGTTTAAGCCCTTCACCCTTGGCAAGATGCCCCAGCTCTGTGTCTCCTCTGTGAATAGCAATGACTGTTCCTGATGGGATCGGCACAGGAACTAGGAAAGACCATGTATATCAGAGGTCCCGAACACCCAGTACCAGTCTGTGGCCTCTTAGGAAGCTGGCCACACAGAGGAAGAGCAACCAAAGCTTCATCTGTACTTAAAGCCACTCCCCATCACTCACATTACCACTTGAGCTACACCTCCTGTCAGATCAGTGGCAGCATTAGATTCTCATAGGATCGCAAACCCCATTGTGAACTGTGCATGGGAGGGATATAGGTTGCCA